CTCCTTTTTTCTTTCCTATGTAACTACAAAACAAAGTGGTTTGTGCCTGTAACAACCATTTATAACATCTTTAAAAATACATTTTAATGCCTTTGGCTTTTCATCATTATTTTGAGCAGCTTAAGTCAACTGGGAACAAGATTCGTGGTTCTCATATTCTCGTGTTGTCAGAACACAACAAATCAAGTTCTCATAGCAGCATTCTGCCCAACGAAAGGGGCAGCTTTAATATAAGGGAGAAAAGAAACATTCCATATCCATAATTAGATAAATAATACTTCAGGCAAGATATGGCACCTTTAAAAGTGCCTTTTCAGTCTTGGATTTTTCTTTGCTTGTTACTACAGAAACCATCTAGCAACCAGAACCGAAGACAGACTCCACCCAAAACAGAGAAAAACAATATAGACAGAGTAGGTTTTTCCTCCCCCCCTTTTTTTTCTCCCCTTCCCTGTCCCCCCCACCCTATTTTTTTTTTTTTTTAAAGGGTGGGTGAGTGCTAAGGAAAAGTATCTTACTGTGCAAGGGATAGGAGCATTTTGCATGCAGCTGAAACAGTAAAGCTCTGATTACAGATGGCAGAAATGAAAGCAGGGAATGAGTAATGAGCAATGAGAAATGCGTAATGCGGGATGAGGATATAATTTCCACACATCGGCTAAAGAAAGGTTTACACTCTTAAGCAATAAAAACAACCATTAAGCCAGACCTGCACTGTCAGGAAGTATAAAACAGTTCTTGAAACTCTGCAGTTACTATACAAAAGCTTTTCATAAACTTTTGTTTCCTGATCTTCATAAAACATTAACATCAAGCTGCCATATGGCAATTAGCTGCCTCCTGAAATCAATTAAAAAAAAAACCAAAATCAACAATTTAGGAATAGCTATAGAATAAAATAGTTCAATAATTATCCTCTTCTAATAGTGGGTCTAATATAAATGCAGTCCAGATGAGCTCCTTCTTCAAAGCTGAGAGTAGGCACGTTCCTGCCCAGGGCTCGTCAGTACCGATGGCACACGCGAGACCTCTCGCTGCCGAGCCTGGAGGAAAGCAGGTGACAGTCCAGGGACACCCAAACCCAACTGCCACACGAGCAGGAAAGGTGGCAGTGCCTGATCACGCTTAGCGCGGTGGCGTGGATCCTGCTTAGCAAAAATGGCCAATGCTCTCGGGAGAGCTTACCTCAACTGAAGATCTTCCCCCGACATTTTTACAGGCTGCTGACCTCAGGAGCCCAACTGAATTTCACGCAAAAATTACCAAGCCACTCGACAAAGCTGCTACTGAGCCTCAAAAGGACAAGGAGAGATGCTGATCACATTTGTGTTTAGAGAGACGCTCATCTGAAACGCACAAAGGGTGACATTATCTATCACGTTCTCTGCCTATATAGATTATGTAAGTGCCTAGAAGCAATATTTTTCAGGGAAAACAGGCTACAGGGTAACAAAGGCAGTTTTGCCTTCCAGATCTTCTGCTTTTTCTCCTCTTAAGAGGGAGGGAGGAAAAAAAAGCTCATTTCTTCTTGTAGAGCACCATAGTACACTAATAGAATCATAGAATCACAGAATGGTTTGGGTTGGAAGGGACCTTAAAGATCATCTAGTCCCACCCCCCCTGCCATGGGCAGGGACACCTTCCACTAGACCAGGTTGCTCCAAGCCTCATCCAGCCTGGCCTTGAAGACATCCAGGGATGGGGCATCCACAGCTTCTCTGGGCAACCTGTTCCAGTGCCTCACCACCCTCTCTGGGAAGAATTTCTTCCTGATATCTAATCTAAACCTCCCTGATTTCAATAAGTAAAGTAAAGTAAAATTTTAATAATGTCTAAGGAACTAAGTTAAGTACCAGAGTACTGTGGTAACAGCATGCTTCTAGTATTTGGGAGTATTTAGCAGTCATTACCAAACTTAGATGATGTCAGAAAGCCCAAATCTTTCAGGACTGTCTAATCACCAACCCTATTTAGCAGGGTTCAGGAACCCAGCTGAACACTAGAACTTTCTACTGTTCACGTGTGAGAGTTTTGTTTCTTGTATTTTAAATCCAAAACAAACTCTTCCGTGCAACGCACTCATCTCCAGTCTAGAGGGAGAGGTTAAGGGCTGAGGACTTAAAGTTACATTACGAAACCAATTCCACAGAAATTTATTGACGTGCTGAGCTTGACACATGCATATTTCCTCCTCAAAATCAGCATGGAACTGACGATTCTGTGACTAACGCTAAGCAGGTATAGAAACGCTTACAAGAGTGGGTCTTCAGAGGTTTACAATTACACATTGGCCTCGCAGGGTATTTTACCAAGGATGCAACCCTCTGTCAAGCAACCAGTGGTTTGCCTTTACAAGGAATGCGGCATCACGCCACGAGCCAGCGACTGCTCATGCAGAGACAAGCGCCGTAGCCAATTTTTTTGAAACAAGATTAGCATCAACGTGTTCTCATGCCTTAGAGAAGTAAAGCAGTCACCACTCCGTAAAAAGCCTCCCTCAACCCAGTTACATAGGAAGGGCTGGGAGCTGTGAAACGTAAGCCTTGCAGTGCTGGAGTTTAGGATCTGGTTGGAAGTGCCATGGGGTCTTTACCGATTTCAGCAGGTTCGGGATCAAACCTTTCCTGCTCACAGAAATGGTGCAGTCTTCACATTTTAAGCACTTTACATCCAGCTTTTGCAAGCTCAAGTTATAGAATACGCTAGTGCCGCCGTGAGCTGACTGGCACAGTCACGAATCACAAACAATCTCGCAGGACCTTGACGGTGGCAAACCCTGCGACTGACAGCCTTCCCAAAGCAACAGCACAGTCTTCACATTTTAAGCACGTCCAGCTTTTGCAAGCTCAGGTTATAGAATACGCTAGTGCCGCTGTGAGCTGACTGGCACAGCCACGAATCGCAAACAATCTCACAGGACCTTGACGGTGGCAAGCCCTGTGACTGACAGCCTTCCCAAAGCAACAGTCCCCAACTCATTCATCACCAGTAAAGCCAGCAACAAGCAAAAGGCAAACTGAACTGCCCATGACGCTCCCCCCTGAAAACATCAGCCACGAAAACAGCACTGAGTTTTCGGAAAACCAAGCGGAGGTTCTCCACCCGGCCAACCCAAACGCTACCGTGTAGTATCAGCATGACCAGAAACACCAGCTACCCCTCAAAAATTAGCAGAGTCAAACTGCAGAGCGGTGGATTGTTCCCCACTAGCTATCAAAAATACTGCTGGTACAAAGACACAGGTGAGTGTTCATTCTCACCAAACAGGTGAGTGTTCATTCTCGCCACAGAAACTTACAGCTAGCTAAAAAGCTCACAAAACAGAAGCAGCCAAGGGGAAAGGGGTTTCTCTCCTACCCTCTGCACCCATCGCTTTGTGCAACGATTGACAGCAGAGAACTGAAAGACGACCCGTAAGACATCAGCTTTGCCTTTCTGACCAACAGACCTATTAGTACCTTTGTGGTAACCCAAACGATGCTGGTAAAAGAGGAGTTTGGGGAGGGCCATGAGAAAGAGGAGGTTTCTGTTAACAGAAAGTTAAATCTAGCAGGATGCTCAAATCTGAGATTCCTGGGGTTGACATAGAGAGGTTGCTAATGGGACAACTGCACACATGGCTGTAGGAAGGGCTGCCTCAGGTCACCAAATCCAGAACCGGATCCACGACGGAGCGCACGGAGATTCCGACATCTCTGGAGGTAACAGCACAGAGCATTCACTAAATACAGTAGCGAGCTCCTGAAACAGGCAGGAACTTACCCCTAGCAGTCTGACACAATTTTATCCTTTTCCCGGCTTTAGCACACTTCGCAGTGGATCTCCAAGAAGCCACTTCCCTGCTCCTGTTTGAGCACGACAAGCAACTCAGCCTCTGCATGCTCGTCCCAGGTTCCACAGCTAGTAACCCGACTGCCACACCAGTCTTTCAGCGTACTCCAGGCACGGTATTAGCTTTAAAGCTGCTTTCGCCAACTGCAAACCACGCTTTTGCCCCTCACGTGAAGGATGTAAAAAGTAAGAAAACACAAGCCCGAGTGCACCCATCACAAGGGTGAACCGTTTTTTTCTGACAGACTGGACTTTTCAGAAAGAAATAGAGTTCTGTGATTTATTATCTCAAATAGATGTAAACATTTGGGGAGGGGGAGAGGGAAGCTTTCAAACACAAAACCCTGGGAAGGAAGACAAGCTAATCTGCAAAACCACCAGCTGAGGTTAGGGAGGAGCTGCAGACGACAACAGCTTGCTGTACGTAGGGTAAAAATTGAAGATTAATTTCACTCCACAGAAGCGAGCTCTCATCTGAGGTAAGAAAGTACGCAACACTTTCCCAACTGTTAAAGACAAGGGCCGGTACAAGTACGGTGAGCATTCCTCTTTAGCATACATAATCACAAAAAAAAAAAAGGATGACATTTTAGTTTTTATTATTTTGTATTTGGCCAGGACTTTTGAAGGAAGGACTTTTAAAGGAAACAAACATTCACTTTTCTGTAGGTCTAGAAAGGATTCGGTCTTCCCCCACTCCCACCTCCCGTAGGATTTCTATTGGCCCTTCTTATACCCACACTGCAAATTAGTTGGGAATAGCAGTATTTATACTAGATCAGCAACGTCTGGTTCTTATCCAAATGTTCCACCTAAAGAGGATGCCAGTTCTCATGGATTGGACAGCCCACCCTGCAGCATTCCTGAGAATTGTACAATATAATAATCTTGAAAGTCAGCAGAGTGGATTATCCACTTTTTTCTGGACTTGAACTTGTGACCTTAACAGTAGCACAGCAGAAAGCAAATGTGCTATGCACTTTGCCATAGTAACCTTCCATGTATTCTTTTCAACTTAAATACACACAATTGAAACAGCTACAGTTTTGGAAAATTATGTACAAACCCTATATTTTTTTCTTTTTGATTACATATAAATACAAATTAGCTATTCTTCTAAAAAGTGGTTATAATAGTAAATAAATACAAAATAAGAATCTGACCATTATACTTCATGTGCTGGGGTTAAACCCATATAAAATGTACAACTAAAATACATTTAAAATCTTTAAAGGAATATTTCTCTGATTAAAATATTTGTTTTCCCAACTTTCTCGTAGACATAAATATATTTTCAAAATAGTTGTGTTTTTTTTTTCTTTCCATTTCATTACATAAATAAAAGTCTTCATTGGGAAATATTAAAGTGTCAGCTTTTTTTTTTTTTGTATTTGTCTAACATATTTGCTGTGTTAGCGGCACCCACAACCCTCCACAACCATATCTTGATAGTTCTTTAATACAACTTTTTCATTTTCGTCAAGGTAGAGCATGGAAATAGCACTCAGTTCTGTCGGCACACAGCAAGCCTTGGGGATTTTGGAATTCACTGAATTGACCAAAGTCTGAACAATGGCATGGTTTGTTGAGTTTAGATGATCTGCCAGCGGAAAAGGACATTCCCCATGGCAGTAAAAGGCACTATACCCCGGCGGGGCAACAATCCAGTCATTCCACCCCACATCATTGAAGTCCACATATAACGGATGCCTTTTGCAACTGTATTTGTGGCGTTTACGCTGTTTGTGTTTCGCTTGACGCTTTTCTCTTTTATGAAGCGGGTGTCCCTTGCCATCATGCCCAAACGTTACTAATAACGGCCTGAGCTGAGACCAGCTATCTTCATCCTGATGTAAAGACCTGCTAATCCTAACGTGCCTCTTGGAGGCACTGTTCTCTTTGTCCAAGTGAACCACCTCTACCACAAACCCATGATTAGGTTGTCCATGTGCAATCCACCTCAAAACAGCTGGCGTTACATCAAAACTTTCCCATTTACTTGCATTATGATGCACCAACCTGGTGTCCAAAAGTCTTGTGACAGGGTCCTTAGAGGTGGCTGTGGCTGGCTTTATAATTTCATAAATATTAATACGGTGATGGTAGCTGCTGTTGTTCTCAAAGGCTCCGTGCACCTGTTTCCGAAAAATCTGGAGTTCAGCCGAGGTGATAGACTCCTCATTAGGGATGGAAGTTAAATTAAAGAAGAAACGCCGTGCTGTTTTCCCACTCGTTTCTGGCAGTTCTTCCAAAACTTCTAATTTGATTAAACAGGGGAAATAAAGAAAGAAAGAAGAAAAAAAAAGAGTCAGGAACTGAGACAAGCAACCAAACCCCTCAGATAGCCTGCAGTTGGCAACTTTCAACTGGCAGCCAAGGCGTGTGACATACAAGACCTGAAAGACTTTTGGGCAGAAAATACCATCTCCCTTGTCTTTCTGTTTATTTAGGCAAGCACGTATAGCATGGAGTTAGGAATGCTTCATTCACTGTTACGCATTTTGACTGAATACTGGTGCCCTTTGCCTTCCAGGTGGTAAGACACAGCATTACTTCCTAATTCAAGGACCTTAGTGAGGCAACTCAAACGCTATAGCTAGCGGGGGTCTGATGAGACTCATTAAAACTGGTTGAGGGCTTAGGGTGACTATTGCGTTTCTGCTTTTTTCAATAATATGGATCTAAGCTCAGTCCCTTAAAATCTATTCTGAAAAACATTACTCTGCAATTTAGGTGACTTACAAATCTTAACGTATGGACGTTGGTATCTTAGAGATGGTGAACTCAACATCTATAACGGCACTTTACAAAGCACACCCCAGTATTTACCCGAGAGGGCCATAAAGAACAGCGGGAAAGTTCAACTGCTAAGAAGGGATGGATGGTAAAGGACTAATGAAACAAAGTTGCTTCTGAAAAACGGGCTTTCAAAACCAGAAAAAAAAAAAGTAAAAAGCCACTAAAACCCTGGGCCATTCCCACCTTTGAGTCAACTAATAATTGACTGAAGCTTCCGAGGGAGTAAAATATACCTAGGGTCGCCACGAAGTACGTGGTGGCTACAGACATTGAAGAAATCAAGAAATTGGAAGTATTTGCCCAAAGAAATCCCTTTCAAATCACGGGTTTCAGTTCTGGCGCTAAGCATCCTGGAGAAACAGTCACTTTCTCAGGGGAAGCCACAACTGCTGCCAGCAGATCTTAGCCATGCAACCCTTCCCTCCTGAATCCAGAACAACTTTCCGCATTAGGTAAGGCTCAGCTTTCCGGTGGTTCAGGACCGGGGCACTGTTTGTAAACAGGCAGATGTTTTGAGGGGTCACAGGACAAACTCCTCCTTCCAAGAAGCCACTGATACAGAGCGATGACTCCGCGGATAAAACGGAGTCACGCTGACTGCTTTCTAAATTTTGTGAAAATCACAGAATAGCTTCTACGTCAAAGCCAGTCTTTGCCCTAACAGCACGACTACTTCAAACCGCAGATTTTTACATCTGCCTGAAAACTGTAAACTTTGCCCTTCCCGCTGCTCTCTTGCTCAGCCCCTTGCCTGCCGTACCCGGGTTTAACGTGAATGACCCACGCGCCGGCTCTTCCCCGTTCCCTGCCGGGTGTTTACTTTCCGCCCAGGGAAAGGCGGAGGATGAGGGGTTCCATTGCATCACGCATCTCCGCTCTCACGACAAGGCTGTCCGCTAAACAGCGCATCCACGTCGCCGAGGCCTTTATCCATCCGAAACATTCAATGCTAGGGAATTTCTCTCCTCAACACAGTTTCTCCTCAAAAGCACGGGAGAAGAAGATGCGGTTTTGGTACTTTCACAGCGGGGCCACCGCGTGCCAGCACCCGAGACCAGCAGCCAGGAACAATTACAACCCGGGGAAACGTTTCCCGAAGAGCACGCGAGCGACACGCGCC